GGATGAATCCTACACAACAAGCTGAACTCCCAAGGCATGTCGAAGAACTACTAGAGAGGGGTTTATTAAGGGAGAACCTTAGTCCTTGTGCCGTACCTACTTTGCTTGTTCCTAAGAAAAATGGCACTTGGAGGATGTGTGTTGACAGTCGAGCAATCAACAAGATCACTATCAAATATCTCTGCACAATCCCAAGGTTAGATGATCTATTTGACCAATTACATGGTTCTAACATCTTTTATAAGATTGATTTGATGAGTGGGTACCACCGGATTCGAATGAGAGAAGGTGATGAATGGAAGACCGCCTTCAAGACTAGCCAAGGCTTGTATGAATGGTTGATAATGTATTTTGGTTCGAATGCTCCTAGCACATTCATGAGTCTGATGACTCATGTGTTTAGACCATTCATTAGGAAGTTTGATGTCGTCTACTTTGACGATATCCTAATTTATAGCAAAGAGGAAGTTGAACACGGAAAGCATTTGGAGAAGGTTTTTGAAACCTTAAGAAAATAGAAGCTATATGCACAACTCAAGAAGTGCATCTTTTATACCAATAGTGTTTGCTTTCTTGGTTAAATTGTAACTAGTGCTGGAATTCAAGCCGACCCAAGCAAGATTGAGGCAATCATAAGGTGGCCAATTCCTAGGACAATTTCGGATATAAGGAGCTTTCATGGAATGGTGTCCTTCTATCGACGATTTATCAAAAATTTCAACACTTTGGTTGCCCCTAAAACCGAGTGTTTGAAAGGAGGCATGTTCAAGTGTAATGAAGAAGCTCAAAAAATGTTTTGCATTGACAAAGAAGAAGATGACACAAGCTCATATCCTTCAGTTGCCTAACTTTGATGTTTTATTTGAAGTATAATGTTATGCTTCAGGTGTTGGTGTTGGGTGAGTTCTTAGGCATGAAGGTTTACCCGTGGCTTATTTTAGAAAGAAGCTAAGTGGATCTATATTGATGTACTCTACCTATGAAAAAGAGTTATATGCTATTGTTCACCTGTTTCAACATTGGAGTAATTATTTATTACCAAGAGATTTTGTGCTATATTCTGATCATGAGGCACTAAAGTATCTTAGTCACCAACAAAAGCTCAACGCAAGGCATGCAAAATGTATAGAGTTTCTTCAGAATTTTCAATTCGTAATGAAGGAGCTTTATGAAGCTGATCCAGACTTTGGAGATGTTTTGAAGAGATGCTTGGGAGGGTCCACAAAGAATGTTTGTAATTCAAGATGGGTTTCTTTACTATGGAAAGCAGCATTGGATACCACAAAGCTCTTTAAGGGAGTCCATTGGGAGGGAAGAACATGAGGGTGGATTAGCTGGTCATTTTGTCCATTCTAAAACATTGAAGATGATTCAATGAAACTTCTACTGCCCTAAATTGAACAAAGATGTGTTGATGCTAATTGAGAGTTGTGAAATGTAGGAAAGCATAAATCCATGGAGTAACAAGGGATTATATGAGCCTTTCCCAATTCCTACCACACCGTGAGAAGATACTAGCATGGACTTTGTGCTTGGATTGCCAAGGATTCAAGGAGGTAAGGATGCTATCTTCGTTGTTGTTGACAGATTCTCTAAGATTGCACACTTTATCCCATGTAACAAGACAAGTGATGCAAATCATGTGGGTGTTTTGTTGTTTAGCAATATTGTCAAGTTACATGGCATTCCAAGAAGCGTTGTTTCTGATCGCGACACTAAGTTTCTCAGTCATTTTTGGCGTACTTTATGGGCTATGCTTGGTACGGAGTTGAAGTATAGCTCATCTTATCACCCTCGAGCAGATGGACAAACAGAGGTAGACAATCGAAGTTTAGGTGCATTGCTAAGAAGTTTGACCAAGAAGAATATAAGAGATCGGGAATCCTTGCTACCACTTGCTGAGTTTGCCTTCAACAATTATGTGAATCGAACAATTGGAAAAAGTCCTTTTGAAGTGGTGTATGGTAAGAATCCTCTTGGTCCATTAGAGTTGTCTTGTCTTCTTAAAATCTATTATTTTTGTGGAAATGCTGATGAGAGTGTTAAGCAATTGAAAAAGTTACATGAGAAAGTAGTACAAGAGATTGAGAGACAAACAAAGGCATATAAGAAACAAGTTGATAAGAAGAGAAAACTCAATTCTTTAACGTGGGAGACTTAGTCTGGGTTACTTGAGGAAAGAAAGATTTCCTAATCAAAAGTATCCAAAGTTGCAACCAAGAGCTGATGGTCCATTTCGAGTTGTTCAAAAGATAGGTGACAATGCTTACAGATTGGATCTACCGGACGATTATGGGGTTTCACCAATATTTAAATGTTGCTGACCTTGCGCCCTTTATAGAGCCTTTAGACTCGTGGACATGTCCTTTTCAACCAGGGGAGAATGATGCAACTGAAGAAGCTATATTAGCCTTTTGTTATTTAGCTCGCCAAAAACAAGTTCTTATATGCCCACGAATAGGTGTGTAGACGTGTCTTCAAGTTCAAAAGGACCAAGATTGATTTTAAGAAGCCAAGACTCTTTCCTTCCTAAGATAGGATGTAGTTTATTCCTTTTAGAATAAGGATTTTCCTTTTAGTATGATTCTAGTTTCTTTTCCTTGTAGAATAGGGATTTTACTTTCCTTGTCTTTATTTATTTTATTTTCTTATTAGAATGGAAATTGTAGTCATCAAAGAGACTCTAGGCCTATATAAAGGGTTCACTTGCAATGTAGAAGGCAATTCACGTTTTTAAGGTTTGCCTGGCCTTACAATAGAGCGTGTTTCTCTATTTTATCTTCTTTATCCTTGTTTTTGGTTCCAATCAAGGTGGTGATAGTCTTTATCTTGTTTTCAATTGCGTGTGTTGTTTCTTTATCACGTTAATTGATTCCATGCTGTGACTTTAGGAACTTGTTTAGTTATTGATCTTTCAGGAACACGTTTCTTGATCTAAATTCGTTCTTTTGATATCATAGGATTATAACTATCATTGAACAGTGCATCATCATTATTTACTTGTTTTGAGGAGTAAATAATCTTTCTTATATTTCAGATTGTCATCTTTCACTTCGTTTTTGAATCATCAGATTCTGAGTCCTAAAACCTTATATACGTTGTTTCTTGAAATCGACCCACAAACCACATTTTTGTTTCAAGGTATTGATCATGGTCGGATGGTTCTTTGTTAACTCAAAGAATCACATCAATTTGGTATCAGAGCAGCAGGTGGTGAACCTTATACGCAAGCAAGAAAAGGTCGTTGGGTTCAAGAATCTGAAGGAAGAGTAGCCGATCGTGAAATGGAGATGGAAGAGATGAGAAGGATAATAGAACAACTATTGAGGCAACTCCAACACTACGAAAGGAAAGAACGACGTTGGAGGCCCAAGGAAGAAGATGAAGGGACTCTGATATTGACCCCTTTCATATGGCTGATAGAGATGACACTAGTGAAAAGTCGGATCCTCCTAGGAGACAATGAGATGATGACTCTGATCGTCCACGAGAAGGAGGAACAATACTCAGGAGAAAAGGGATGATGTGATGGTTGATGTTCCTAATTTTGATGGAAAAGCATAATGGGATGCATTTATGGAGTGTTTATTGACCATAAAACATATCTTTGAGTTCAAGGATTATTCTAAGGAGAAAAAGGTTAAGATCGCTACCATCAAGTTTAAGGGATAAGCTTCACTTTGGTGGGATAATTTGAAGTGAGAAAGAGAAAGAGAATGTCGTGGTAAGATTTGAACTTGGGAGAATATGAAGAGAGAACTTCGACTACATTTTCTTCCTGATACGTACAAACAAGAGAATTATGTTAAATTTCATAACTTTCGCCGAAGAGACGAGTCCGTAGAAGACTATACTCGAGAGCTTGAATAACTCATGACTAAGTGTTATACTTGAGAACCTGAGGAACAAAGTATAACAAGATATATTAGTGTCTTAAGGCGTGCCATCTCCGATGTTCGCCTACAACCTTATTGGACATTAAATGATGTACGAAAGCTTGCCATCAACATCGAACAACAACAAAAGGAGCCCAAGATATTATACTGCAAGAAGAATTACCCTAACCAGGGGAGTTTTAGTTGTGATAGTGGTGGAAATTCCAAGGCCATTTATAGAGGTAATTCTTCTAATTCATCTTTAAATGGTAATGAAAAGAAACCTCACGGGGATATGACTAGGAGAAGATGTTTTAAGCGCCAAGGTTTTTGTCATGTGCAATCTGATTGTTCCAACCAAAAGGCTGTTATGTTGGTTGACGAAGAGATAATTCTAATCATGAGGACATCCAGCCAATTGAGGAAGTCAATGAGGAAGATGAGGATGACAATGTAGTGCATGATGAAGGTGATATGCTAGTTATTCAGAGGATCTTACATGCTGAACATGAAGATGAAGAATCATCGAAATGAGAGGCCCTTTTCCACACGAGGTTTACATCACATGGAAAGGTATGTTCAGTTATTATCGATGGTGGAAGTTGCACTAATGTTGTTTCGAAAGAGATGGTGACTAAATTGGGTTTGGAGAGGTACACCCCAAACCTTACAAAGTCGGGTGGCTGCAATATGGTGGAGGTATGAAAGTCACTAAAAGAAGCTTAGTCTCTTTTTCTATTGGTAAGATCCATAAACACCAAATTTGGTGTGATTTGGTAAAGATGGATGCTTGCGATTTATTACTTGGAAGACCATGGAAATATGATAAGCGTGCTTTTGATGATGGATACCGTAACACCTATTCCTTCATAATTGATGGACGTAAGATCGTTTTGATGCCATTGCACCCAAAAGAACTTTCTGATAAGGCAAAGGTTGTGTCTAATATGCTAATGACCAGATCACAGATTATTGGCCACATCAACAGAGGAGAGCCATTGTACATAGCAGTAGCCATGGAAGACTCAACAAGATGAGGAGCAGGAGTTAGATACACGAGCCAAGAACTTACTTGCTAAGTTTGATGATGTGATCTCTAAAGATGTTCCGTTATAACTTCCACCCATGCACGATATTCAACATCAAATTAACCTTATCCCAGAAGCACCATTGCCAAACAATGCAGCTTATAGGATGAATCCTACACAACAAGCTGAACTCCAAAGGCAAGTGGAAGAATTATTGTTGAGGGGTTTAATAAGGGAAAGCCTTAGTCCCTGTGACGTACCTGCTTTGCTTGTTCCTAAGAAAAATGGCACTTGGAGGATGTGTGTTGACAGTCGAGCAATCAACAAGATCACTATCAAATATCGCTTCCCAATCCCAAGGTTAGATGATCTATTCAACCAATTACATCGTTCTAAGATCTTTTCAAAGATTGATTTGAAGAGTGGGTACCACCAGATTCATATGAGAAAAGGTGATGAATGGAAGACTACCTTCAAGACTAGCCAAGGCTTGTATGAATTGTTGGCAATGCCTTTTGGTTTGTCGAATGCTCCTAGCATATTCATGAGGCTTATGATTCATGTGTTTAGACCATTGATTGGGAAGTTTGTTGTTGTCTACCTTGACGATATCCTGATTTATTGCAAAGAGGAAGTTTAACATGGAAAACATTTGGAGATGGTTTTTGAAACATTAAGGATAGAGAAGTTATATGCACAACTCAAGAAGTGCATCTTTTATACTAATAGTGTTTGCTTTCTTTGTTACATTGTATCTAGTACTAGTATTCAAGTTGACCCAAGCAAGATTGAAGCAATTATAAGTTGACCAATTCCTAGGTCAATTTCGGATATAAGGAGCTTTCGTGGAATGGTGTCCTTCTATCGACGATTTATCTAAAATTGCAGCACTTTGGTTGCCCCTATAACTGAGTGTTTGAAAGGAAGAATGTTCAAGTAGAATGAAGAAGCTCAAAAGAGTTTTGAATTGACAAAGAAGAAGATGACACAAGCCCCTATCCTTCAGTTGCCTAACTTTGATGTTTTATTTGGAATAGAATGTGAGGCTTCAGGTGTTCGTGTTGGTGGAGTTCTTAGCCAGGAAGGTAAACTCGTGGCTTATTTTAATAAGAAACTAAGTGGATCTAAATTGAAGTACTTCACCTATGAAAAGGAGTTCTATGCAATTGTTCACGTGTTGCAACATTGGAGTCATTATTTATTACCAAAAGATTTTGTGTTATATTCTGATCACGAGGCACTAAAGTATCTTAGTCACCAACAAATGCTCAACGCAAGGCATGCAAAATGGATAGAGTTTCTTCAGAATTTTCAATTCGTAATCAAGCATAAAGCTGTAACCTCAATCAAGTGGCTGATGCTCTTAGTAGAATACCATGCTCACTTTCTTTGATGCAAACTAATGTATTTGGATTCGACCATATCAAGGAGCTTAATGAAGTTGATCCAAACTTTGGAGATGTTTGGAAGATATGCTTGGAGGGTCCACAATGAATGTTTGTAATTCGAGGTGGATTTCTTTACAATGGAAAGCAGCTTTACATACCACAAAGCTCTTTAAGGGAGTCCATTGTGATGGAAGCACATGAGGGTGGATTAGTTGGTCATTTTGTCTATTCTAAAACATTAAAGATGATTCAAGGAAACTTCTACTGCCCTAAATTGAACAAAGATGTGTTGAGGTTGATTGAGCGTTGTGAAACATGTAGAAAAACAAAAATGTATGGGAGCAATAACGGATTATATGAGCCTTTGCCATTTCCTACCACACCGTTAGAGCATATTAGCATGGACTTTCTTCTTGGATTTCCAAGGACTCAAGGAGGTAAGCATGTTATCTTTGTTGTTGTTGACAGATTCTCTAAGATGGCACACTTTATCCCATGTAACAAGGCAAGTGATGCAACTCATCTGGCTATTTTGTTCTTTAACAATATTGTCAAGTTACATGGCATTCCAAGAAGCATTGTTTCTGATCGCGAAGTTTCTCAGTCATTTTTGGCGTACTTTATGGGCTAAGCTTGGTACGTAGTTGAAGTATAGCTCATCTTATCACCCTCAAACAGATGGACAAACAGAGGTAGTCAATTGAAGTTCAGGCGCACTGCTAAGAAGTTTGATCAAGAAGAACATAAGAGAGTGCGAATCATTGGTACCACATCTTGAGTGTGCTTTCAACAAGTCTGTGAGTCGAACAACTAGAGAAAGTCCTTTTGATGTGGTTTATGGGAAGAATCCTTTGGGTCCATTAGACTTGTCTCCTCTTCTTAAAACCCATTATTTTAGTGGAGATGCTGATGAGAGGGTTAAGCATTAAAAAAGTTACATGAGAAAGTAGTACAAGAGATTGAGAGACAAACAAAGGCATATAAGAAACTAGTTGATAGAAGAGAAAACAATAATTTTTTAACGTAGGACACTTAGTCTGGTGAGGAAAGAAAGATTTCCTAACCAAAAGTATCTAATGTTGCAACCAAGAGCTGATGGTCCATTTCGAGTTGTTCAAAAGTTAGGTGACAATGCTTACAGATTGGATATACCGGACCATTATAGGTGTCACCAATATTTAATGTTGCTAATCTTGTGCCGTTTATAGAGCCTTTAGACTCTAGGATGAGTCATTTTCAACCAGGGGAGAATGATGCAAATCAAGAAGCTATATTAGCCTTTTGTTATTTAGCTCGCCAAAATCAAGTTCTTTCATGCCCACGAATAGATGTGTGGACGTGTCTTCAAGTTCAAAAGGCCCTAAATTGATTTCACGAAGCCAAGACCCTTTCCTTCTTAAAATAGGATTTATTTCATTCCTTTTAGAATAAGGATTTTCCTTTTAGTAGGATTGTAGTTTCTTTTCCTTGTAGAATAGGGATTGTACTTTCCTTGTCTTTAGTTATTTTATTTTCTTATTAGAATTAAAATTGTAGTCATCAAAGATGAGACTTTAGGCCTATATAAAGTGTTCACTTGCCATGTAGAAGGCAGTTCACATTTTTAAGGTTTGCCTGGTCTTACAATAGACTGCTTTCCCTATTTTATCTTCTTTATCCTTGTTTTTGGTTCCAATCAAGGTGGTGATAGTCTTTATCTTTTTTTCAATTGCGTGTGTTGTTTCTTTATAACGTTAATTGATTCCAAGTTGTGACTGTAAAGCCCCAGAAAATTTTGCTAAGTAATTTAAGATTTCATGGTGCCAAGGTAGGCTAATTATTTTATTTTGTGTGCAAAGGAGGATTCATGATCTAATGGATATCAGTTGGATATGTTAATAAGCGTATAAGTCATATTATAAGTGATTTAGGGTCTAAGGAGAGGCCTAAGTCTAAGCCAAGTTGGAAAATTTCATAATAGACTAAAGTTGTAAATGAGTACGCACTAGACCTCACTTTAGACAAGCATATCTAAATTTATATAAAGTGTTGTGTGATGCAAAACCTATCCAATTAAATCTCTTTGAGTCTAGTTTCCAACGTATCAAACCGTTTATCATTTGGAGGTGCATACAGAAAGTTATGACCATTTTACCGGACCTATGTCAGATGTGCGTCCGCGGCGCGGCCGCGGGAAAACTAAGAGTTTCTGCCTCCCGAGCGCGGTACGAGGGCGGCCACCGCGTCCCGGGTGGCTTGACCGCGGTCGTGCGCCTAGCATACCTATAAATACCCCAAGACCGGGTATGGAGAGTCTCTAAGTCATTTTTTTTGAGCTAGGGCTTGCTCTATCAAGGGGAATCCGTCCCATACTCCCCTCCTATGATCCAAGGCAATGTTTTTGGAGTATTTTGAGTTGATTACTACTCCTAAACACTTATATTAACAAGTATTGATCTTGAAAATCCATAGATTCCCATTCAAATCCCTAAATTGATCAAGAACACTACAAGTGGGGATTCTCAAGATTCTTACTACAAGAGGTATGTCTATCATCTCTAACTACTCTATGGTGATTATTTATGTGTGATATATACGTTAGAACTCATGGGATGGTGATTGGAAGCCATAAGTGCCAAACCTAGGTTGTGTTGGTGTTGTAGAGATTGTGAAATGGGTTAATTAAGGAGGTTGATGATTGGGTGTGAATGGATGGTCATACATATGTTGTTGGAAGTTATAAATTGGTTAGGAGCGATGGTGGAATAAATTGTTAGTTGATAGTGATAGTTGCATGAACTAATACTACGGTTATGAGATGTAAAGATCTATACCTACAACGTGTTTGATAATATGCCTAAATGGCGTAAGTTATGGAATTTATTACAAATATTTGCCCTATTGAATGTTGTATTATAGATTAAAGTTGCTTAAGTGTATTGGATCATTGTAGTATCATTAAGGGGCAAATTTCAGGTATGTATGGCTAAAAAACCCCTCCTCTTAGAAATTGAGCCTCCATGGTGTCCGTGCAAATGTTGTAAGTCCGAAATTTAATCGATGCGGTACTTGTTATGTCAATTGAATTGATGTTTTGAAAATGTAGGTGGAAGGTGCTTCTCCATGTGTTTAATGTGTTATTCTTTGTAATTTGAGGATGTGTGGAAAACATGAGTTATGTGGTAAATGCCTAAATGTCAAGTCAAGGTTACATTGTGCTTAATATGCCGAACTAGATGAATTCCTATCTATGCTTATAACTTAAACTGGTTTTGTATGCGCCTGTGATCTTAGGCAAGGTCAATGTTGAAAGTGGGAATAATGTGAAATGTGAGTTACGGAATTTGGTAATTGTGGCCCCAAGTGCCGAGGAACTAATACATGTAAAACCAAAGATTTAAGTGAGATGATTAACGGAAAAGGGTAACGTCTTGGTAAGACGGATTAGCAGATCTGGCCGTGATAGGACGCCATGTTATACACACATGGTGGTAATGTGTTGATAATTGAAACTGGAAAGTGAGAATGAAATAAGGGTAACGTCTTGGTAAGACAGCTTAGCCGACCGGGCCGTGATTGGACTCCGCTCAAGGAAGCGGTGGTAATGTGGATAATGATGCAACGATATGGAATGACCCAATCCACAAATTTCATATTTCATGTTAAAACTATGTGAACCTCTTATATTGTTGACGGGGTGCTTATTTGAAGCTTTGTGTTTCTTATGATTTCTTTGTACTCTTGTATGGTTGTTCTTTCTAACTGGATGGTGTTTAGTTATACATACTAGTACTATTCCATGGTACTAACGTCCCTTTTGCTGGGGCGCTACATTTTTAAATGAATGTAGGTGGCTCCATAGCGGATAGTGCCGATCGCGCGTAGCGGAGCTTCTTCCTCTCAAGTCTTGGTGAGCCCCTTTCTCCTTCAAGGGGTTTATGTTGTACATCTTTTGTTATAGATATCCACTTTTGAGGTATAGCCGGGGCTTGTTGCCGGCATTGTCATTATTGTCTTTTGTATCCTTTGAGGCTCCGTAGACGTCTGTGTGGGTAAGGTAAGGGTGTTGGATGGGTCAATGAACTATGCTGTAACTTTCTACTCTAGTCCTTCTAAACTATAACCATATAAAATCTTGAAACATAACCATGGTTTTTGGTTTGTGACATGAAAATGGACTAATATTGTGAATGTTCGACTTTGCTAATGTCTAAATAAAAGAAAACATGGTTCCCTTAACCGTAGTGAGTTGGGTAGAAATGTATGAATAAGGCTTGCTCAGTTGGGGTTTACTCGATTGAGCGTCGGTCGCGCCTCCCGAGGTTGGGGGCGTGACAAACTTGATATCAGAGCCTAAGGTTTTGAAGTGTCCTAGGATGTCTCGGAGCCGTGTCTAGTAGAGTCCTTCTTATCGGTGTGTAGTCGACCACATCTATGAGTTGGAGGCTACTTGGGCATTTAGTAAATAACACCCTTCTTTGATATTCCGGATCGTGCGACAACTTGTTATGAAACTATCCCCTCCCTAATTAGTAAATTGTTCTATCTTTCAGTAAATGACACCTAAGATGAAAGCGAGAATTGGCCAAAAAGCCAATTCCACCACATGAGTGGCTGATGAATCACTGCTTGATACTGCGGGTGAGGGTAGTCGCCCTGCTGTCACCCTGCCTGGTTCTCCTATTCTAGAGCAGACTACCCCAACTCCTACACCTGCGGAGGGTACTACTATCCCTCCCATCGATACTCCCATTCCGCCTCCAGCCCCAGCTTCCGGTTCTGGTATTTCTGATGGGGATCTTAGGGGAGCTATTCAGATGTTGACTCAGCTAGTGGCCTCTCAATCTCAAAGGTCGAATGTTGTGCCCAGTTCATTTAGCCAGCAGAGGGATTCCACCAGTTCCAGAGTGAACAGATTTCTTCAGTTAGACTCTCCAGTGTTTTACGGGTGCTAATCCAGAAGAAGACCTTCAGGATTTTATTGATAAGATGCACAAGACCCTCAGGGTTATGCATGCAACTGAGACAGAGGGAGTAGAGTTAGCTGCCTACCGTCTGAAAGGGGTGGCCTGTGCATGGTTTGAGTTAGGGGAAGATTCCCGCAAGGAGGGGAGCCCTCCGACGAGGTGGAGCGAGTTTGCCGATGCCTTTATAGATCATTTCCTGCCTGCTGAGACAAGGGCAGCCCGTGCAGTAGAGTTTGAAAATCTGAAGCAAGGTACCAGCAGTGTGTGGGAGTATCACATGGAGTTTGCTCGCCTGTCTAAGTATGCCATTCATATGTTGCCCACAATGGAGTCTAGGGTGCATCAGTTTGTTCAGGGCCTAAATCCTTTGACTATTAATGAGGCTTCTACGGCTGCATTGAATTCAGACATGAATTATGGGAAGATGGTAGCATTTGCTCAGGCCACAGAGAACCGTAAACTGAAGAATAGAATGGAGAGAGAGGGTAACAGAAAGACTCGGTCTACGGGCAACATGGGTGAGTCACTTGATGGGGGAAGATCAGCTTTTAGGGGACGATCATCAGGGCCGTCCCAGTCTATTGCGCAGTCTTCAGCCAGTGCACCGCTATCAGGGCCCAGCCAGCAGCAGCAGTGGAGTCGTTTCAGGCCTAGTTAGGGCAACAGAGGATCCTATCAGCGGGGTCAGTCAGGAGAGAGATCCCAACACCAGCAGAGGTCCTTGTGCCCCAGGTGCGGGAAGATGCACTCAAGGATTTGGTACTTGGAGTTACCCGTATGCTATGGATGCGGAATGAGGGGTCACATTCAGAGGCATTGTCATACATCCCGCCAGGGAGCGGGTAGGGGCATATCACAGCCATCCAGTCCAGCAGCTGCTGCATCTTCAGCCCCCTCTCAAGCTCGAGGTACCCCAGCACCCGCAGGGCGTGGTGCAGGTAGGGGTAGTGTGCAGAGTTCAGGAGGACCCAGCCGGTTCTATGCTATGAGTGATCGCCAGGATGCAGAGGCTTCTCCAGATGTTGTTACAGGTATTCTGACTGTCCAATCTCATGATGTGTATGCACTTATTGACCCCGGTTCCACCTTGTCCTATGTTACCCCTTTTTTTTCTATGGAATTTGGGATAGAACCAGATCATCTTCATGAGACATTTTTGGTGTCTAATCCGGTGGGTGAGTCTATTACGGCTGGTCGAGTTTATAAAGGTTGTGCTGTTACGGTACGGGGTAGGGATACCACGGCCGATCTTATTGAATTAGGGATGGTCGATTTCAATGTAATAATGGGAATGGATTGTCTTTATTCATGCTTTGCCATACTTGATTGTCGGACTAGAACCATGAGGCTTGAATTTCCTAATGAGCCCGTTGTTGAATGGAAGGGAGATAATGTAGTGCCTAAAGGTCAGTTTATTTCTTACCTTAAGGCTGCGAAGATGATCAAGAAAGGGTGTATCTATCATTTAGTTCGGGTTACGGACACCAATGCCGAGGCGCCAAGCCTTGAGTCCGTGCCAGTTGTGAATGAATTTTCGGATGTCTTTCCAGATGAACTCCCTAGAATTCCTCTAGACAGGGAGATTGATTTTTGGATCGATGTGATGCCAGGCACGGAGCCTATATCAATTCCACCTTACAGAATGGCACCGGTAGAATTGAAAGAGATAAGGGAACAACTGAAGGATTTTCTAGAAAAGGGTTTCATCCGGCCGAGTGTGTCACTATGGGGCGCACCGGTCTTGTTTGTAAGGAAGAAAGATGGGTCGCTACGGATGTGTATTGACTACCGGCAACTCAACAAGGTCATAATCAAAAATAAATATCCTCTACCAAGGATAGATGACTTGTTTGATCAATTGCAAGGTGCTACGTGTTTCTCAAAAATTGACTTGCGGTCTGGGTATCATCAATTGAAGTTAAGGGAGCAGGATATTCCAAAAACAGCTTCCAGGAGTCGGTATGGGCACTTTTAATTTATGGTGATGTCTTTTGGGCTAACAAATGCCTCGGAAACTTTCATGGATCTTATGAATCGAGTCTTCAAGCCTTTTCTAGACTCCTTTGTGATAGTATTCAGTGACAATATTCTTGTATATTCCCGAAGTTGAGAAGATCATGCTAACCATCTCAGGGCAGTTCTGCAGACTCTTCAGCAACATCAACTGTATGCAAAATTTTCGAAATGCAAATTCTGGCTTGAATCCATCGCGTTCTTGGGTCATGTCGTCTCCAGGGAAGGAATTATGGTTGATCCTCAAAAGATTGCAGCAGTGAGGAATTGGCCCAGACCTACCACTCCAACAGAGATTCGCAGTTTCCTGGGTTTGGCTGGGTACAACAGGAGATTTGTGGAGGGGTTCTCGACTTTTGCCTCTCCATTGACCAAATTGACGCAGAAAGCAGTTAAATTCGAATGGTCCGATGCTTTTGAAAGGAGTTTCCAAGAATTGAAATCAAGATTGACTACAACACCGGTATTAGCCCTGCCAGAGGGTACCGAGGGATTTGTGGTATATTGCGATGCTTCAAGGATCGGGCTTGGGTGTGTGTTAATGCAACATGGCAAGGTTATAGCCTATGCTTCTAGGCAACTCAAGAATCATGAAAGGAACTATCGAACCCATGACTTAGAGCTTGCGGCAGTGGTGTTTGCACTAAAGATTTGGCGACATTATTTGTATGGGGTGCATGTGGATGTATTTACGGACCACAAGAGCCTTCAATATATTTTCAAGCAGAAGGAGTTGAATCTGAGATAAAGAAGATGGCTAGAGTTACTCAAGGACTACGACATTGATATTCTCTTTCACCCGGGAAAGGCTAATGTTGTAGCGGATGCTCTTAGTCGAAAATCTATGGGAGCTTGGCTCATTTGGAAGCATATCAGGGGCCGTTAGCCAGGGAGGTTCACCGGTTGGCTAGCTTTGGAGTTCGCCTTGTGGACTCTAATGAAGGAGGAGTAATTGTGCAGAATAGGGCTGAATCATCGCTTGTGGCGGAAGTGAAAGAGAAGAAATTCAACGATCCATTGTTAGCACAACTGAAGGAGGGGATTCATAAATGCATGGCCATAGCTTTTTCCTTTGGCATGGATGATGGTACCCTACAGTACCAAGGCCGCCTATATGTTCCGGATGTTGACGGTCTTCAGGAGAGGATCATGGAAGATGCTTACACTTCCAGGTATTCCGTGCACCCAGGTTCTACAAAAATGTACCATGATCTCAGGGAAATTTATTGGTGGAACAACATGAAAAAGGATGTGGCGGACTTTGTGGCAAAATGTCTGAATTGTCAGCACGTGAAGGCCGAACATCATAGGCCCGGTGGATTGGCCCAAAACATAGAGATTCCAATGTGGAAATGGGAGATGATCAACATAGATTTCACGGTAGGGTTTCCGCGCACTCTGCGCAAGTTTGACTCAAATTGTGTGATTGTGGACTGACTCACGAAATCAGCGCACTTCTTGCCAGTTAAATCTACCAACACAGCGGAACATTATGCTCAGTTGTATATCAAGAAATAGTCAGGTTGCATGGCACTCCAGTCTCAATCATTTCAGATCGAGGGGTTCAGTTCACTGCCAACTTTTGGAAGAAATTTCAGCAAGGTTTGGGTACGCAGGTAAATCTTAGCATAGCTTTCCATCTTCAAACCGACGGGCAAGCAGAGGGGACTATTCAGACGCTTGAGGACATGTTGTGTGCTTGTAATCTTGATTTCAAAGGTAGTTGGGATGACCATTTGCCACTCATAGAATTTTCCTACAACAACAGCTTCCATGCTAGTATCCAGATGGCACCATTTGAGGCGTTGTATGGTAGGAGATGTAGATCTCCCATTGGGTGGTTCAAGGTTGGAGAAGCTGAATTGATAGGGCCGGACCTCGTGCATCAGGCTATGGAGAAAGTCAAGATTACTAAAGAGAGGTTGAAAACTCTTCAGAGTCGCCAAAAATCGTATTCGGACGTTCGTCGCAGAGACTTGGAGTTCAAAGAAGATGATTATGTAGTTTTGAAGGTTTCCCCCGTAAAGGGTATCATGCGGTTTGGAAAGAAGGGAAAATTGAGTCCGAGGTATGTCGGACCATACAAAATCATTCAGAGGATTGGTCAGGTGGCATACAAGCTCGAGCTACCACCCAAGATGTCATTGGTACACCCAGTCTTCTATTTGTCTATGTTGAAGAAGGTAGTGGGAGATCCGTCCACTATTGTGCCAGTTGAGACTATTGAGGTTAATGAAGAATCATCGTAAGAAGAAATTCCAGTTGCCATCCTTAATAGGCAAGTCCGAAGTTGAGAAATAAAGAAATTGCCTCCGTTAAAGTGTTATGGCGAAACCAGCAAAGTGAGAAGCCACTTGGGAAGCCGAGGAAGAAATGAAGAAGAAGTACCCTCACTTGTTTGGATAGCTAGGTAATTAAGTATTTGTGTCCTATGAAGATGTTGAGAGCTTACCTTCACATGGTTAGTTGATGATAATAGTGTTTCTTTTCTAGAAATGCATTGCCTATGGGGCCACGGTTGGCATAATTTTATATTACGTTTCATATTTGGATTATGTATATGTTGATAGGATGTGTTTCTGGGATTCTCTGACAGGTGGATAGGCCCAGTTACAAGGGAAACTCTGCCGAAATTTTTGAACAATTTGGGAGTTAGTCAAATTTGGGAGTTAAAGATGTGTGAGAAACGAGATAAGTCATACTAAGTATTTGCGGATTGACTCCAATTATCATTCGAGGACGAATGATCCTAAGGGGGGGAGAATGTAATGTCCCAGAAAATTTTGCTAAGTAATTTAAGATTTCGTGGTGCCAAGGTAGGCTAATTATTTTTATTTTGTGTGCAAAGGAGGATTCATGATATAATGGATATCAATTGGATATGTTAATAAGCGTGTAAGTCATGTTATAAGTGATTTGGGGTCTAAGGAGAGGCATAAGTCTAAGCCATGTTAGAAAATTTCATAATAGACTAAAGTTGTAAATGAGTACGCACAAGACCTCACTTTGGACAAGCATATCGACATTTATATAGGGTGTTGTGTGATGAAAAACCTATCAAATTAAAGCTGTTTGAGTCTAGTTTCCAACGCATCAAACCGTTCGTCATCTGGAGGTGCACACAGAAAGTTATGACCATTTTACCGGACCTGTGTCAAGTGCGCGGCCGCGGAAAAACTGAGAGTTTCTGCCTCCCGAGCGCGGCCGGAGCGCGGTACGAGCGCGACCACCGCGTCCTGGGCACGGCTTGACCGCGTTCGCGCGCCTAGCAGCCCTATAAATACCCCAAGACCGGGTATGGAGAGTCTCTAAGACATTTTTTTGAGCTAGGGCTTGCTCTATCAAGGGGAATCCGTCCCATACTCCCCTCTTATGATCCAAGGTAATGTTTTTGGAGTTTTTGAGTTGATTACTACTCCTAAACACTTATATTAACAAGGACTGATCTTGAAAATCCATAGATTCCCATTCTAATCCCTAAATTGATCAAGAACACTACAAGTGGGGATTCTCATAATTCTTACTACAAGAGGCATGTCTATCATCTCTAACTACTCTATGGTGATTATTTATGTATGGTATATATGTTAGAACTCGTGGGATGGTGATTGGAAGCCATAAGTGCCTAACCTAGGTTGTGTTGGTGTTGTAGAGATTGTGAAATGGGTTAATTTAGGAGGTTGATGGTTGGGTGTGAATGGATGGTCATACATATGTTGTTGGAAGTCATAAATTGGTTAGGAACGATGGTGGAATAAATTGTTGGTTAATAATGATAATTGGG